TTCAACCAGTTCACACGCCACACCTTGTATTTCTCACGCTGAGAAGTGAGGGATCATTTGTCCCGTTAATTGCTGTTCATTTGGCTCGTATTTGAATTTTTGATACATTTGTATTTTTGAAATATATGAAACAATTTGTTTTATTTGGATGAATTTGTCTTTTATCAGATTTACCAATTGTTGTAATTTCAATTTGTGTTGGTCAATTATGAACAATAGGTAAAATTTAACTGCTAGCAAAAAATTGAGAGAATTGGGGCAGAGGGGCTGCTGCTGCAAATATTTGAGTGACTCCTCCCCAAACAGATGTAATCTCACTCCAAACATTTGATATGACTTGAGAGCCCTGAGCTCATATACAGTGACTTTTCAATGTGAATGTATTACAGCTTTTTACTTTAGTACTTTGCTATTTTTTCTTTTCTTTTTCTTTATATTCACAGGTCTCGGTTATGGTAGCCAAGTTGTTGTCCTCTATACAGGAGTCTATTACATCATAATTCTTGCTTGGGCTTTCCTTTATCTCTTTTCATCCTTCAGTTCAGAGCTGCCATGGGCGAGCTGCAACAACTACTGGAACACAGGTATCTCATGTATAACAGTGGGAATTATCATAGTACTGGGCTATGTCGTTTGAATAACCATTTACTTTTTTATTTAGAGAACTGCAAAGAGTTGAGCAAAAGCAACAACACTGAATATACTCCAGAGAAAAGCACGTCTCCTGTTATTGAGTTTTGGGAGTAAGTTGTTAAAAATAGCACCCCAATAAACTGGATACATGTTTATTAGAATTACGCAATTAAGGCAACACAGGATAACACAAATCATCCAGATAATTAAAATTATTCTCAATAAAGGCTGTAAAGCAGAATGTGATTCCATATTTTTTGCCTACAGGAGAAGAATTTTGGGCTTGTCTGAGGGAATAGAACAGATTGGTAATGTTAGATGGGACTTGGCACTCTGCCTCCTGCTGGCCTGGATAATCTGCTACTTCTGTGTGTGGAAGGGAGTGAAGTCCACAGGCAAG